AAAGCGTAGTGATAATTGGAAGACTGCAGACTAAGGCAGGCCTGGATGACTGGAAAGAGGACAGCAAAGAGAAGAAGGACAGGCAGAGAAAGGCGTAGAACACAGTCGGGCCGCAGACGCAGAGAACAAGGGGAAACTAGAGTCTGAAAGGCACTAAGACGGAACCGTCAGTCATGGAAATTGGAAGGAGATAATGTGACAAGGGAGGAGAGCAGGGGAAAGGAGGCAGAAAAAGTTGTCACAGAGGCTCAAAAAGGACCAGAGGGAGGCATAGAATGAAGAGCAAAGAAGAGTTGAGGGAAGGTTGCATAGGCAGACATGAAGGTGTCTTAGCCAAAAGAGGTGAACACTCGATTTTCCCTGACCTTTTCGTGCTCTTTGTCCTGTTTCTCCTGTTCGGCACTGCTCTGTGAACCCGCTCCAATCTCGGCTGAATCAGGTAATTCCTCGGAGTCTTCAGTGCTTCCGGGCTTTCCACTAAAACAAACACCGTATAATGATGGGTCCAGGGTTACGGTATGAGCAAAAATAGCACAAATTTGGCAAGACATACCTCGACGTTTTCGGGGATTCTGGAACTTTCGGGACGGGCGTGGATTCCGGAACTGGAGCTGCCGGTGGACCTCTCAAAGGTTTCGGATTAGTTTCCTCAGTTTCTTCCGTAGATTCTGTAGCTCCACCAGCTGCTGACGATTCTGGTTTTCCCAAATCTGCTGGTATTTTCGAGGTTGGTGACGGTTCTGACATTTTGCAGCTGTCACGGTAGGATGCGCAGAATTCATTGGCTTTCCCAAACTCCGACCGTTGTGCTCCTTCACAGAAGTGCTTGAATTGATCGGCGAACTTTTCGCAGTACATGAGCACGCCACCTGCAACAGCGACTGATCATTGAGTGGATGTCCGACCCTTGAATTTTCCCACTGACTTTGGACTGGCCTGGGTGAGTCAGGAAATACCACTGGCGGCACCCGCGCAGCCGAGAGGTCATTGCACCGCCACGCGGGTCGTACCGCCTGGGGCCCTCCTTACCCATGCCAGGTATATCGATAACCAAGTTCAACAAGTAACCCAGCGAATTAATCACTTGACTGCTGACTGCGTCCCTGGCTAGTATATGGCCACAGAATGCTTACTCACCTTTGAAACCCGCTGTTTCGGCAGATTTCGCTGCTTCGGAAGCGGCATGAGTAGGTAGGGGACCAACAACTTGAGTAGGTGGATCAGCAGCTTTGACTGGTGCCTCAGCGGTTCCTTTCTTCGCCTTGAGAAGAGGACCAGGTCTCGGAAATTCGCTGAAATTGCAATGCTTTAATGTAAACTTTTAAATTTAGTGTTCATTTAAATTTTTCGAAAAATTCATTTTTGGGTTAATTTAAGTTTATGTGTTGTTTTTAAGTTCATGTGTTTTTTTTTTTAAGTTTATGTGTTTTTAGTGCAGAATGAGGCTTTCAAGAATGGTCGCGTGCGGATGCGTCGCGGACTACGAAGTGAAAAATAAACTGCAAAAGTCTCGAGCGTTTACCTCGGTTTTGTTCTCGCGAGGGATTCTTTTAGAGTTTCGATTCAGAAAAGACGGCGCTGTTTCCGCTTGCATGGGATGTAAGTGCCGCAACGCGTACGCACGCGGCAACATGTGCCCAACGCAGTTTGCTCAGCACATGTTGCAAAATAAGTTCAAATGGAGGACATGTGACTTTTTTCTGTCAAGAAAAGTCCAGTAATAGTAAATGCATCTGTTTACCTTGTACTTTCTCCGCACTGTTGAACGTAGAGGGCACAGAATTGCGGTAGAACACCTTCCAATTTTCCTTCTATTCCGTTCTTGCAGTAATTACCAAAATTAGCCTGTAAAAATACCGTTTGAAATTCCCGCCACTCAGCCATGTTGTCAATTTATCGATTTCACGCGCTTACCTTGTATTTGGCACAGTATTCTTTCTTGTCAGCATGTTTTGCTTGATTACTTTCGCGTTCGTCAACGGTGACCTCCAGCTAAACCAAGACCAGTTTAATTGACAATATAAAAAATAGTAAAAATTGATCTTAGATATTGATTATTGATTTATTGCGTGAACTGTCTGACTCAAATTACGGGGGATCGATTCGGAACCGATACATTCAGAGGTATAAGTATCGATCAAATGTGGACATTGGAATGGTCAGAGCGCAGAGAAACGTGGTTAGACACGCAGAGGACGTGCTGGGTCTCCGCTGTTTGTGGGCTATTTCGCCTATGGGCTCTTTATGCCTTCCGCTACTTTCTGCCTCTCTGCATTTTAGCATCTTCTGGAGTGTTTGGTACTTGAAGTGCTACTTAAATGAAGCAAGAAATAACGAAAAATTATTTTGGCTAATCGATTATAATTATCACCTCATCGTTTTGGTCGTTAAGCCAACGAACAAAGTCCTCATCGTTTCCGCTGTATTCTGGGAGTTCTATAGGTTTAGATGTCGTTGTGCTGGTTGTTGATGGAAGGCCACCGTTAGGTAAACCTAAATTGGCACGATAACAATGACTCGTGCAGCAACTCAACGTATTGTATGGCTGGAACCCGTTTTTGCCCCCCGTTACGCTACCGTGTAACGACGTCGTAAAATCCAACATTCCTTCGAGAAAAGTTCGAATCTCTTATAAAATCTCTGCCTGGGCGAAAAAAATAGATAAATTCTTACCTAGAATATGAGAGTCGCAAAAAGCGGGTTTCGGATTTCGTGCACAGGCGATTTGTACGAGTCCAAGCGGAACAGCTAAAAATCACTAATTCAGAAAACATAGATATCGATTGATCGGGGTGGAAAATGAATGGGAAATTGGCTCATGGAACGTTGACATCACATGTTTTTATGTTCGGGTTATTCATTAAATAGAAGAACGGGTTATGGCCCCCGCCTCCTGATGTAACCATAATAAATTCATACCGTTCGCTAGCACAGCCAGAGCCAAAAGAAGTGTCGTCCAGGTGAATAACATGTTGATTACAGTACACAAAGGTGACAGATAGCCGCTCTGTCAGGCCTTATAACCGGGCCGAATTAGGCGGATCCGTAGGGCGGTTGTTTTGTTTTGCTGAAAGCAGTCGGTGGTTCCTTGAAATCACGTGAAAGTGCTAAATGACGGGGATCCCTACTGGAAAAAGCAACCGGGGATCAACGATCACCAGTGTCACACGTCATTAAATAACCATAAGCACGAGCTAATTAGAGATCGTAATCAAACATGATGATAGATGAGAATGTAAAAAGAAACAGACGATCATTAAGGAGTAGACATGAAGACGACCAAAGTGAATTGGGCGGAGCAGGCTACTGACACGGTCGCTGGAAAGTTCACTAGAACGGATACGCGGTGGTGAAAAAATCGCTCTCAGGTCAACTTCTAGCTTGTGAGTCACTCGGTTTGTTGATCTGTCAAGTTGGTCTATTGTTCGGTCAACCGATCTCTCGCTTCATCTGCACCGATGGGAAGGAACATGATGAGAAAAATCGACCTCCATAGGAAATTGGAACCATTTGGCATGGTAGTATCTGGAAAACCCCAGGCCTAATAAACTGACCACTGATGCCTACCCAGGGTCAAGGTTCTCAGGGTTAACCAGTTGTAGGTGCGCCATGAACTCAACTTTTATTCTGTACCGCTAATGTGTTTGGATGCGCCTCTGACATATTCATACAACGGCCAGCGATATTTGGACCCGCTTGAAACTGAGCGAGGTTTAAACCTTAGAAATAGGAACTGTGCCGCTGAATGGGTCTCTTCAAAATGGAAAATATGTTGGTTCGAAGAGAATCGATCGCTTGACCGTCAAGTAAGGTGTCCGCACCCCAAATCTTTCGCTCCACTCGCCCCAAAAATGTACCAGCGTGACGTGAAATGCTCGGTCGAGCTAACCGTTCCAATCCTTTGAAATTCAGATGAAGACGCTTCCAGCTAATGCGCTATCTCGGGCCCGATCTGTTGGTTCTTCACCGTGTTCCAGAGCTAAATTATTCACGAACATTGAATAGCTACAGTGTTTTGCTATTACGGTAAGCGCAGGATATTTGAGCGAGTTCCCAGATATAACGACGGGGCAGTTTGATGTTACTTACTGCTTCAGAATGGTCCTGTAATAGTGCAAAGGCAAGTGGCGCGATTTACCTATCACGTGGTTAACAGATCAAGCCCTGGTGGTTCCTCCGACCTCGCGGGGTTTATTTGTCAATACCAGGCCACCTAGGCCGTCTCTTCTAAACGGCGCATAAGTCCTGTAACTTGTTGTGGAAGCCATTTCACATTCAACTACCGCTAGAATATTGAATGAAAGTCAAATGCGTGGCGCATCATGAAAAGAATCAGCGTGTCGCAATGCTCTATGGTATATTTCAGTGGTTGAGATCTGAAGATTCAAAAATTTGTCCGTCTAAATGACGACCAATTTTCCTCGCTTCTGAATTTTTATTTTGAGCGCTTTCAATTGGTCAACTTCCGTTTGGCCAAAAGCAAAAAGACTAATCCCAACAACACGCGTCAATGCTGTTTGTTTTTTTTTCAATTTAGAAAAAGAAAATTCGTGTGATTTCTAGTGGAAAAACAACAAGTCTTGGATGGAGTTACTCGAATTGAGGCGGAAAGATAGACAGCAATAAATCAAGAAGCTCTGAAGACATCCATCTGTTATTGTCACCATTTCAGAGACCATTTTAAGATGGATACACGATGACGTGTGTGATCGCTCGGCGACCAAGTGGAAAAAATTGTACGATTGATGGACAGTTCAACAAGATAGAAATCTTTTCAATGAATTTTCCCATTTACCGAAGGATTTTTATGGAAGAATGGTAAAGTGCGGAGGTGTCGTTTATGGAAAGACTGTATATCAAATCTGATTTTGTCATGCTAGGTAGATTAATACAGAGAGAAGAGCAGCCGTTTTGGATAGGACAAATGTCGAGAAAACGCAATTTCGCAATGGCAATTTCGGTAGGATAATCTCGTGTACACTTAGGGTTCGGGTCCGTACAACAGTTTAGGTATATTCAGACCCCGCGACTAGGTAGGATGGCGGTGAAACTCCAGTTCGGGGGGGCCACTCCAGTGCTATCTTATCCGTAGTACTAACGAGTGGTACTTTGGGCTATCCAACACCATGGATAAGATATCAAGTAAACGATTAATTTCGAGCGTACTTTCGATAAGGACCGGTAAATGTTGTCCATCACACATTCTGCCCACCTCCTATACAATTTTCTGCACCAGGTCATCCACCCTGGAGCTCCTCCACCCTTGGCCCTAGAAAGAGGTATCCATTCTCCGGTCCAGGACCGTTCCCTTGGACCATGGCAGGCGGAAAGGTTAAAGCATCTCACGGCTTTTTTCCCATTACACCGTTACTTATCAAAAGTATACTCTGAATGAGTTGGTTACGTATCATGAGCGCTGTCATCCTTATCTCGAGTATTGGAGAAACAATGGAGTGTGGCCCCCCCCGAATCCCAAATTCGGTGCGACCCCCGAACTGGAGTTTCAACGAGATGGCACTTCTTAATCAAAGACGTGTCATTCGAGTAAAAGGGAGGCTCCATGATCATGTGTTTTGTCACGACAGTCTGTCGATCCAAGATCTTCTTCCTCATACGTTTGGCCACGCCCTCGAGCTCTGGGACCACTACAAATCTGAAGTTTCCTACTTCTTAACTACAAACTAAATACTTCCATGCGAAATTTTACATGAAAGATGTGTGGGTCGTGGAGGCCAAGCTGAACTCCCGCCTAAGAGAAATGGGCCTCCTCGAACCTTTCAGCCTGACTATTTGCTAATATATTTGTCTGGGAAGGCAAAGAAACATTGCTTTGGAATTCAAAAGGCTCAAGAAAAAAACCTTTGCTGTAGCAGTTCTTTCAGTCTGAGTGCATGGCGCACTCCAAACGGATTGAGCTAATGTGAAACCTTTGCTCTTCAATTTAATTTAATTTTTAATTTTTTAATTTTTAATTTTGAATAATTTTTCCGTCAAACCGTGGACCGTTTGCGCCCATGGACACATGGTGTTGAACGAATTTCGATAACTTTTCCAACATTCTTTTAAGGTTCCATCGTTCTTTGAATCGGAGGGTAGTAGCTCAGATGCGATTTTAATTGTCCCTACGATTCAAGATGGTAGAAGAGTGCATGGCGCACCCAGAACCAACTGACAAAGCAAACGCTTCACATCACGGATGATAAGGTCGAAGAAATGAGTGATATTCTGACCGTTGCGTGAAAAAAATATGTAGGATGAGATGAGATAAAATA